TGGAGTGGTAGCACGGCGGGGTATGGCCTTGCACGCGGCCGACCCGGGTTCGATTCCCAGCATCCCATATGGTCTCCTGAGCAACACCAGGAGTAATTCCTGAGTGTAGAGCCAGGAGTAACCCTGTGCATCGCTGGGCGTGACCCCCGGCAAAAATAAATACATAAATAAATTCTAAAATCAAATGACCCATTTAACCACTTTTCCATTTCCCTCTGCTGTCTCATCACCTCTGTTCCCCTTCTCCCCCTATGTCCCAGGAATGTTTATGCAGCCATCCATGGAAAGTCACTCTTTCAGGGGCCGGGGAAGTCGTAGAACTGGTACTATCTTGTCTTGTACACAGCTGAGCTGGGTTCAATCCCTGGCACCCCATGTGGTATCCTGAGCCCAGAGCCAGGGTAAACCCTGAGCATGGCCAGGTGTGCACCCATCCACCCCGAAGGAAAAAAACTTTCAGTGAATCTAAGGAACAAATGATGACTTTATTTTTTTTTTTTGTGGGAGTAATAAATTTTAAAACTATTAAAAAATTTTAAAACAAATATTGAACTGTTTCTTCTCGTTAATCATGGCAAGTTGTGTCTGATTCAGAAATCTGAAGACAACTCAATTGTAGCTAATCCCAGGATCTTCATCGGCAGGTAGAGATTGTAAAGGATTCAGATGTAGGTCTGAGTGTGATGGTAGATAAAGTGCTAAAAGGAATTTGCTCTGCTCTCATGTTGAAAGCCTAGAAGGGTTTAGGTCCAGTTTCCCTGGGTTCATGCAGAAACCGCTGCCTGCCCCCAAGGGCCTTGTTGGCGTGCAGTCCTGATGGCGGAGGCTCTCTCCATCCTGGGCTCCCACATGGAGGCGCAGAACTGCTGCCTCTGAGCGAGGTCGTCGGCTACACTCACCCAATCCCTGGGTTTGCTGCGGTTTTTCCCCAGACTGTTGTTATCTCCAGCTTAGCTGCAAGCGATGTGTGCCAAAGGTGTGTCTCTGCACTTTGTGAAAGTCAGCGTTTCTTTCGGGAGATTGTCTCCAAGTTGGGTTTTCAGACAGGTTCAAAACAGGTCCAGCTGCGGAAGGCAGGGCCAGTCCTGCCCTGCTCAGACCACTGCTAAAGCCCAGAGAGGATGGCTGGGGGGGGGGAAGTACTGTTCAGAGTCCCCCACTTCCCTGACGGCCAGGGACAGATACCATAACCAGAATGTCAGGCTCGGGCTTTGGTCAGGAACTCTGCGGGGCCGGAAGGCAGCCTCCGTGGTCCTGAGCTCACTGTGGGTGCTGATGTCTGGCTGTCTCCGCGCTCAAGCGCTGCCGTGCTCACCTCACCCTCTCTTTTTCCTCCCACTCTTGCTTCCTTTGCTCTATCTGTGTGTCGTTGATGGAAAGACTAAAGAAACTATCAACGTTATAATAAATATCATATATTTTTTTAGTTTCTAATATTTGGTTCTTGTTTTTTGCATTTTGAAAGGCTGCCCAGTAACACTTTAAGGCATTTGCATCATGACTGAGATTTATTTCTTATGAAAGTCGTAAGGAAAGAATCTGGGTAGTGTGATCCCTTGGGAAAGGTTTCTGGCCCCGGACACCTCCCTTCCGGCTCTCCTCCCTCTGCTGTTGCTCATGACACCAAATCTAAAGCGTGTGGCTTTAAAGGGGCCCACGTATTTGTGACTCGGGCATCGGTAAAGAGGCCCAATGTCCTCCAGCCACTTGTGGATTGCACGGTAGAAGTCAAAGCTGAGAAGAGACCAAAGGAATTCGCCGTGAGGACTGGTCAGCAGGAGCAGCTGCCGGGGTCTGTTTGGCCGTGTCCATGTAGGGGTCGCCACACGTGCCCACTCGAGGAAAGGCTGCCAGGTGATTGTGCAATGTTCCAGGCTTGTGTCAGGAACACGCCAAGGAATCTGCCCTCCCCTCCTGCCTCAGAGCTGATGGCTCAGGCTAGTTGGATAGTCCTGACCAAAGAATGGGAGTCTGGGACTAGAGCGATATTCCAGCGTGGAGAGCGTTTGTCTTGCACCCGGCCAACTTGGGTTCGATCCTTGGCATCCCATATGGTCCCCCAAGCACTGCCAGGAGTAATTCCTGAGTGCAGAACCAGGAGGATCCCCTGAGATCTCTCCTTATGACCCCCTCCCCCCCAAAAAATCGGAATCTGCTCACGATCACGATCACAACCATCTTGTTGTTCGTCGATTGCCTCGAACAGGCCCCGGTAATGTCTCCTTTGTCCTAGACCTGAGAATTTTTTAAAAAGTGCCATATTCAAGGCTCTTTCAGGGTTAGTAGAATGAGACCCATCATTGTTACTGGTATTTGGCATATTGGGTAAGCCACGGGGAGTTTGCCAGTCTCTGCCGTGTGGGCAGGTTACATTCGGTAGCCTGCCAGTTTGTCCAAAGAAAGAATGAGATAATAAGATGCTTCCGGGAGCTGGGTTTTATATTCTCTGGGTCTTGGCCGTTGATGGGATTACAGGGCACAAGGGGGGCAGTTGGTGGGTGTAACCCCTGCCTACTGGAATATGGAGGATCTGAGTGGAGGATGCTCAGCCCCAATCTGAGCAGGCTTGAAGATCTCAGCCCCAGGACACGCATGCCTTTTTTCCTCTGCCAGTACCTTCATGCCTGTGGAGAGTGGTCTCAGCATAGTGGTGGCTGGTTGTGGAGGTCTTCGGCTGCCGGAGCCCTGGTCGGGGTGGGGAGGGAAACTCAACCTGCTCCCCTCCAAGGGTTCCCGGCGAGGACAGCCAGGCGCGGGGGCAGGAGACTCTGCTCATCCTCCTTAAACCCCTTCACTTTGAATAAACATTTAAAACCAGATTTTCTAAGTATGTGTTAGATTTAGAGCAAGGAACTCTTAAAATAATCTTATGGTGGGATCAGTTACCAAATAAGTTTGTTTTGTTTTGTTTTGGGGACACAGTGCTCTTCAGTCATTCCTGCCTCCAGAGACCATGCAGTGCTGGGGACCAACCCAGCTCTCCTGTCTGTGAAGCGTAGACCCCAGCCCAGCCCCAAACACATGCCATAGGAAAGTCAAGATTCCTGACCCACAGGTTCGCATCAGAGATTTCCTTTCCACTAAAACGCTCTTATTTCCACCTAAACAAGATCCTATTCCCTAGCGAGGTGTTGCTCATGGAATAGCTTAACTGCACAGAAGTCCACCCTTTCCGGTGTATTTCCAGCCCTTGGGTGTTGAATTCAGGAGATCTCTGTTAGTCTCAGATTCTTTGCTTTCTATTTAATGATCTGGAGTGTAAGTGTGAGCCAGGCGCTGAGAGAAATACACACTTCTCTTTTCATCTCTGTGAGAATTCCCGTTTGCCATAAACCCATGAGAATTCTGTAATGTGTGTGCGGATATCTTGGGTCTCACTAACCAGACATACATTCTGCCATTTCTAACGTGGGCCTCAGTCTCCGAATCCTCCTGTCAGTTTTGGGAGGCATCTGACACTCGGAACATGCTCTTCGTTCACCCACTCACCCGGGGACCAGAGAGACTCGGCTTGTTGCTGTAAGTTATGCCTCATTCAATGTGTCACCTGCCCGCATCACTGGTGCTATGGCCCAGAGCATGTGATCTAAACATGCATGACCCAGTGCCGCAAGGTGGGTTGGAGGGAATACCCAGTGGCCCTCCCGGCTTCTCCCAGGGGTGCACATTCCCTCCATCCCCAAGGCACACAGATTCGAAACACTGAGTAGGACACGAACATCCACTGCTGTCCTGGACCCCAGACTTTAATGAGATCCCCCACTTCACACGCACCTCTGTCTCTCTCCCAATATGCATCCCAGGAGCCACACTTCTGTCCCCTCTCATGTCCTTTCCAGGCTGTGGCATTGCCCAGTCTTGACTGAACGTCCGTCCCCACCCTGTGCTCCCCCACACACGTCCTTTTGTGTGTGTTTTAATTGTTGTCATTGCTTGGAATAATTTATTCAAGAAATAGCACTTCAACCTGGGATTAGGTGTTTCAAAGAATTCTTTTTTTGGGGGGTGTGGTGGGGATGCAACAAGTCCTTTTTTATTCTTTCTGTTCTCCATCTCCCAAAGTTATTAACTTGTTTCTTTAAATTCAAATGGACACAATGCTGCGGGTTCTGTCATGCACACATAGGCAAACTTTTTCTCCCTCACAGTTAGTAAAATTTCACTAAACTTCTTCAAGCATCAGAGCCTGGGCCCCTCCCCCCGCAATAGTCCTGGGAGCCTTTGAGCATCAGTTCTAGGGCAGTTGTGCACTGGCCTCTCTCAGGGTTGATTTCGGGCACAGGAAGGGAAGTTGAGGTCCCAGGGGCCTTGAGGACCCGCAGGGCCTGCGACCAGCGGTCCATGGCCGGCGGGTCCAAGGAGACTCAGTGGGCTAGGGGTTCCCGGGGATTCTCGCTCAGCCGCAGCAGCAGCAGGGCGCGGTTGGGAGAGGACGGTGCCCCCACCCCCCAGACAAGCCCCCGCGACGTGCAGAGGTCGGCCGCTCTGCCCGGAGAAGGGGATGCAGGAGAGACCCCCGACCACGGGGTCAGAAGAAGCCGAGCCCGTCCACGCCTCACTGGGTACCTTTGAGCCTCAGTTTCCCCACCTGGAGTGGAGGGCGCCCCTGAGCAGGCGTGAGGGTGCGTGGTGAGTCTCGGGCGGGGCGTTGCAGCGGGGACAGCGGCTGCCAGCTCCTGTGGGCCGCTGCTGACCCCCAGTCTCCTAGACCGCGCTGAGCTGGGCGCCCCTGAAGAGGGAGATGCGGAGACTGAAGCCTGAGCCCGACGCCGCGCCTGCCGGACCGGACCCAGCTCTGCTCGCCAGGGGCCCCCGCCCGCCCTGCCCCACCTGAGGGGCCGGACGCCGAGGCCGCCGTCCAGTCCTGCCGCCGCCGCCGGGTCCCCCGGACAGACGCCTCTGGACTGAGACCCCCACGCCGGGGGGAGGGGGGGGGCCGCGCCCGCGCCCCAGGACTCGCGCGCTATGCGCTCCCGCGGCCCGCCTGCCACTGCCCCCAGGAAAGACGGTCAGTGGCCTCGGGGTGAGCCTCGCTGGGCGCCGGGGGCAGGGGTCCGCCCCGTGTCGGGGACACGGGCGCCGGGGGTCGCCCGCCGGGAGTCGCGGACCCTGCTCCGGCCCCCGCCAACCAACCTGGCGCTACGGATCTCGGGCATCCGGCCGGAGGCCCCCCAGGGACCGCTGCGCGGGCAGCGCCCCCTCCTGCGGCTCCGCAGCCACCGGCCGGCCCCCGAGGGGCGGGCAGGGAACCCCCGGGACGCGGGGACGCGGGCCTGAGCGAGGCACTGCTGAGTGCGGGTGGGCGGGACCCCCGCGCCAGGCAGGGCCCGGCACCCATGCAGTTCGCACGGCGGCCAGCAGAGGGCGACGCGAGCCGCTCACCGGCCTGCTGGGGCTGCTGGTAGGTCCCTCACTGGGCAGGACCCAGCGATGGCCAGGGGAACCCGAGGACCCCCTGAGACCGCTCCCAGGAGCCGGGATGGGGCGGGGAGGTGTGGGGAACATGCCCTCGCAAGGCCAGCTGGCAGTGCAGGGGGCATGACGCCAGGGCGCCCTCGTCCCCCGCCCCCAGCTTCCCGGCAGGGTCCCTCGGAGGGAGCAGAGGCAGCGCTGTGCCCCAGCTCTGCTGGGGGTCTGGGGGGGTCTGCACAGCCCCCGGGGAGCGCTGAGTCTCGGCGGCCTGTGCCCTGGCTCGGTGGGGCACCCTTGGCGCCCCTAGCGGGATGGTGAGAGATGAGGGGAATGGGGCCCTGGGGTCAGAGCTGGGGGCTCTTCTGCTTCCGCATGGGGGTCACAGAGACCTTGGTGACCTGGGCCCTCTGGGCTGGGGCCCGCCTGCAGCCCCTGCTGTAGCCTGGGCGGGCGAGTCGCGGGGGCCATCCCAGCTGCAGCAGTGCTTGGGGACCATGTGGCGCAGACCCCTGTGCTGCCTCTCTGCCCCCAAGTTCTTGATTCTTTAAAAGAAGCGTCTGGGAGCCAGAGACACTACAGCAGACAGGGCACTTGCTTGGCGTGCAGAAGACTCGTGGTCGAATTCCGGCACCCCATAAGGTCCCCCTGTATTGTAAACCAAAAGGCGTGTGTCAGAGAGAGGGGGAGAGAGAAAAGAGGGAGAGAGGGAGTGGAGAGAGAGCACTGCAGAAAGGAGGAGGGAGAGAGAGGTGCCTTGCCTGCCTGGGGGCGTAGGGAGACTGGGAACATTGGTGGTGAGCAATGTACACTGGCGAAGGGACAGGTGTTGGAACATGATATGACTGAAATCCAACCATGATCAACTCTGTATTTCATTAGGATTTAAAAAATTCACAAAGCAAATAACATTTTTAAAAAGAAAAAACAAATTTAAGTCAATCTTGAAATTTTGAGCGAGCAGCAGTGCAGTGGGCTGGTGAGCGATGCTAGCAGAGCCTCACCGGGCAGCTGTGGTGGGAGTCAGCTCCCACGCTCCAGAAGCTTCCAAAGCTTGGCGCCTCTCCCTGGTCCAAACGGAGCCTTAATCATCAGCGTTCTTTGGGGGGCTGCAGGGGCTGAAGCGTATGAAGCATATCCCTCCTGCAGGCAAATGCCTTAATCCCTGTACTATCTCCAGCCCCTGAAGGTGAGACTGTTAAGCGGACGAAGACCAATTTTATCTTTAGTCATTTTGTTTCTTTTATTTATTTATTTTGCTTTTTGGGTCACATCGAGAAATGCTCAGGGCTTACTCCTGGCTCTGCACTCAGGAATTAAGCCTGGCGTTGCTTGGGGGACCCTATGGCATGCTGGGGATCAAACCCGGGTGGGCCGTGTGCAAGGCAAACGTCCTAACCGCTGTGCGGTCGCTCTGGTCCCTTCTCTTTATTTTATTTCAACCAAAGAAACAAAACCAATGTTCTGCGCCCCACCGGCGGTGTCCAGGGGCTGCCCGGGCAGGGGTCGCCCCGACATCTTAGCACCAGCGCTGCTGTCTCTGACGCCAGTTCTCGGCTCCCGGGGGCTCGCGGGCCGCGGCGAGGACCTTGCGGGAGCCTCGGTCCCAGGGTGGGATGGTCCCGGGCAGGGTGGAACCAAGAGGTGGAGGGCAAGACCAGAAAGAGGCCCGGGGACTCCAGTGGCTTCTAGCTTCAGACGGCGGTGTGATGTCACTCTTTTCACGTGACCGCGGCGTCACGTGGGGGCGGGGCTGGACGGTGCCAAGGCCATGCACCTGACCTTAGAGCAGGTGACGTGAACTTGCTGTGCAAGTTCCTGGACAAGTGCAGGGGCAGCAAGCTGAGGGCCTGGGTGGGCAGCGGCCTCTGGGGCCGGGGGCACCCACAGTGCCAGATGCCCAGAGAGAGGGGGCGTTGCGCTCCCCGCCCCTGCGGCTCGGCTCTGGGAAGGAAAACGGTGCCGACTCGAGTCGCTCTCCACAGGAAGAGCGCAACAACACGTCCAGGCACTCCCCGCTGTCCCCGTGTGCGGGGTGTCGCGGCATGCTACCCTGGGAACCACTTTTCCAGATGCCTGTTCCTCCACAGTTTCCTTGGCAGTTCACCCATGGGGTTCATGACCCCAGTCTGACCCCAGGACACTGCATACACACTCTTTGTGGATGACAGTGAATGTGCTTCCGTGGCCAGTAGCACCCCTTGCCCTGACGCTGTTTTTCTTCAGGCCACGGAATATGAGTGTGGCCAGCTATTGCTAACTGCAAATTTTGTTTGTCCAGAGTTTGCAAATGACTGTTGTTTGCTGTTGGCCGTTACTGAAATTGCTTTTACTAAAAGAACGGGATGCTTCTCCCTCCCGCAGGCAATAGTTTGGGATGAGTATCTCACAGGACCGTTTGGGTTGATTGCACAGTACTCACTTCTAAAGGTAAAAAGGTTTTGGTTATTATTACTTTTTTTGAAACTGTCATTCTGGACTCTAGCAAGAGTAATATGATGTTCCACTTCTGGAGTAACTGGTGTGCAGAGCTGTCTGGTTTTTAGAATCACTGATGCTGTTATGAGTGGTAAATGTTTTATCTTCTGTGGACCTTTGGTTTATTTATTTGAAGTAAAAAACAAAAACATTTTATTTGGTGACCTTTAGGAAGAGGACGAGCGGAGAGAGAGTAACATTTCAGGAGAGACCGTGGGCTTCTCCAAAGACAGAGAGAGCCCCTACACACATCCCAACATTAGAAAGGAAAGCACAAAAGTCCCCATCTGAAGGAGAGCTGCGGGCACCGCATTTGCTCGGCTACATGGGCACAAGCAGCTCAGGGGCTCGGGCAGCATAGGAGCCTTCAGTGGACCTTTCAAGGGTGGGTGTGCTCCCCCCTCTTCTCCTCGACGGAGCGGCATGTCTTCTGATTGTTACTTCATGTGGCTCCAAGTTTTTCAGACACAGGATTGGTTACTTCAGCCTGAATTTATACACCTGGCTTTGGGGAATCTAAATTTTTATCCTAAAGTGGTTTTGAATTTTATTTGGGGGCTCGTGCCAGGCAGTGCTCAGGACTTACTCCTGGCTTTGCACTCAGGATCACTCCTGGCAGTGCTCAGTGGATAGTATGGGGTGCTGGGGATAGAACCCCGGGTCAGCTGAATGCAAAGCAAGCACCTTAACCACTCTACTTTCTCCCTAGCCCCAGATCTCCTGAGCACTGCCCCAGGGCACCTCCTGGTGGTGATTCTTAGCACTTCGATGAGGCTTGGCGCTGTGGTGGCAGGGATATCCCAGGCCACTCCAGTGGCCTCTCTTGGGATGCACATGGCAATGCTTGAGACCCTTGTGGTGCCAGGGGGCGAAGTTGGCAGTCATGTGTCAGGCATGTACCATAACCCCTGCATTCTCTGACTCAACACTAAAGTCTACTGTGCTTTGGAGTGGGAGTGTTAGAACACCTGAGTTTTTGTTGTTGGTCTGTTTTGTTTGGGCCACCCCAGGCAGTGCTCAGACTTACCCCTAGCTCTGCACTCAGGAATGACTCTTGGTGGTGTTTGGGGACGGAGTGGGAGGCCGGCAATCCAACCCGGGTTGGCTGCCTGCAGTGATGTCCAAGTTTGGGTCGGCTGCTAAGCTTTAGGGGTTCTGTTCACCATTTGTATGTGTGCTTTCCTAGGAACATGAGGTGGAGAAAATGTTCACACTCAAAGGAAGCCTGTGCAAGCAGCGGATGTCAAGAATATCATTTTTTTGTCAGACGCCCACTAGAACTGATGGATATAATTGCTGAAAATGTACTTAGGTATCTCAGAGCTGATGCTTGATCCATACGGAATCATTCCTCTGGTGGTTTTAGTGCTCATCAGGACACCTTTGCTTGCCAGCGCTTTAGGAAGTGGATCTTTGGACAGATGTGAGAGTGTGTCAGAGGAGAATGGGGGGTCAGGAGTAGGATACTCTGCAGTCAGCCAAGGATAGATCCTCGGAACCCAGTGTGGTCCCCAAGTCTTCCGGGAGTGACTTCTGTGTGCATAGCCAGGAGTTATCCCTGAGCACCTGCAGGTGTGGCCCCAAAACTATAAATAGAGAATGGGAAACTTTGTAGATTTGGGCTTGGGGAGGCAGGGCAAACCACAGAAACCCACTCTCTCAGGACAGTAGAAAGCTCCAGCCTGTCGCAGTAGAAGGACCCAAATTTCTTTATAAAAAGAAAAGCAGCTAATGGTTCTTCTTCAAGTACTGAATACCATATGCCAAAATTTCATAAGCAAAGTCAGGAGAAGCTGATTAAAATTTAATGCTGCAACATCTATGGAGGAAGTGCACCAGCCCAGTCTGCATTACGTTTGATCGACATGGCCCCTAAGGACTTAAAAGCATGCGGGGTATTTGCGCAAGATCGGGCACGGTGTGGAGCAACCTTTTATTTTCCTAGCGACACCGCTTGATTAAATAGAAACTTTTTTTTTTTTCTGCAAGAAACAGATGTCCATTGCAATAACCCTGAGAGGTTTTTGGGTTTTTTTCCCTCTTTTTGGGTGACACCCGGCAATGCACAGGGATTACTCCTGGCTCTGTACTCAGGAATTACCCCCGGTGGTGCTCAGGGGACCATACAGGATGCTGGGAACTGGGAATCGAATCCGAGTCGGCCGCGTGCAAGGCAAACGCCCTACCCGCTGCGCTGTTGCTCCAGCCCCAACCCTGAGAGTTTTCATGTCCCATCAATGGCCCAAAAGAAAGCAGCACTGCCCCTTGGCAGAGCACAGGTCAGCGGTTTCCAGAAAAAGCATCACATCAAGAGAGCAGGAAAACTTGAAACTTGGGCCGAGTCGGTAGTGGGGGGTTAGCTCATAAGCGTCTCTTTAGAGCCCACTGTG